TCAGTCGGATGTTTCCGTGAACAGTAAGCAGCGGATCTCCCCTGATTTTGGGAAGTTCATGGTTTAGAGCACGAAACCTTTTTTCATGGCCCTCATTTGCTACACCCACTGCATCGATCTCCCCTTCACACAAATCATCCGACCGGAGACATTTACTTAGCCCCAGTCGATATCACGAAACTTGTGCTATGTCATGTTATAAGTTATGCTATAGTATGATTAATCCATGTTGTGGAATCATATTGATGATTTATGATGTATAAGCCTCCATATACCATGCAATGTAAATTATGTTAAGTGTGAAAGATACGACAAGAATTATGTATGCATATTTTCACATGTTATGTTATGAATGAATAGAGGTATGATTTGCACCTTACGCCATGATTTTAAGCTATGAGAATCTCATGCATTTATGTGTCACATGCATTGAGATACTTTCTCGTTATGATTAATACAATGCGTACCTTACGATATTTATGTTCACCATGATACATTTGTATCCACCAAGCTGAATGAGACATAACAAACTACAAATCAAATTTCTTTTTTCTTTTTTAAGGATAATAAGATTCCCTAAAAAAGTTATCGAATCAATTGCTCGTCTATTCCTTTTTTCTCTATTGATGGGTCTATATTTAACTTTAATTAATTTCCATTCTGAGTGTTAAACAAAATCAATGTTTTAGGATGTCCATCTCAGTCGTGTTGATTGGAAACCTAAATCATGTTGAGATACGATGTTGTGTTGAGAGATCTTGACCTCGAATAAAGACAATGTCAAAACGAATGATTTGGCTTAGTGTAGAGGCAAGTCGATCGGGTTGTAGATGATTGAACATAGCATGCATAGTCAGCATGGGTAGCCAAACAAGAGGCAAGTCGATCGGGTTGTAGATGATTGAACATAGCATGCATAGTCAGCATGGGTAGCCAAACAAGTTTGGATTGTGCACAAGTTGTGTTTGGTTGGCGAAGACAAATCTCGTCTAAGGTCTGACGAACCCAAAAAGTTTGACGAAAAATGAATACGAAGTTTGGGTTCTTCTCAAGACTTGTCATAAACATGTCAAGATCACGACGCTGCACGGCTGAAAATATACGACAATGACAAATCTGTATCCACGTTTCAAATGATGTTAACTTAAAAATAATAAATTTGAAAAATGTTATTTTCACTCTTTTATTTGAAGTGAATAACTTGCATGTTGTTTAAAGGATAGAAGATTATTCGTTGTTCCAGATGAATGGTGGCCAACTTTAATCCATTCATAAACTTTAAGAACATATTTTTATTCTTATTTTTCTTATTTTCATTCACCATTATTCATTATATTTCTCAATTTAAAAAAACAAATATATTTGTAATGATTTGAAATGCATCGTTAAATTAAATACCAAAATGAATTTTTTTTAAAGATTAAATTTGTAGTTTAAGGAAAAAGAAAATATATGAATACTAAATTAATAAATAGGATTATTTCAGATTCTTTTCTTCATATTTTTCCCAAACAGCATATTATAATTAAAGAAGATATTGAGATTTTTATTATTATTTTTTAAAGAATAATTTGATCTTCTATTATAATTTTCTAATTTCCCACAATATAAATAAATTAGAAAGACAAGGCTTTTCAGTATATTTCATATTTTATTTGGATTTTCATTTTCTTAGCTACCAAAACACTATGTCGAATTTTCCTCGCTTTGGTCGTCCACGACAGCGTCCTTCCGTGGCGGCGCCGCCAGTTCTCCCTACCACACTGCCTGCTGCAGAACACAAGCCTGAAACGTTGCCGTTTTATAGGACGAGCCAGACTCTTCAACCTGCGGAGAAACCCACGTCACCCATTGCGTCGCCAAAATATGGACCTTCCGTCACACTTGTGCCCAGCCCGCCGCCGGCGAAGGACGAACTATCGCCTCCGGTTTCGCCTGCAAAGAAATATCCCGACAGGCTAAGCCAAACATCCCCACTTCAGTCGCCGTCAAGGTCGCTACGAACATCTCCGCCGCCACCGCCACCTCTCGCTCTGCCGCCTACCCATTTCACCGCCAAAGATGGAAACACCACTCAACCCAGGTATTAAATTACCTGTAAATTTGTTTGCGTATAAATATGAAATAGTAATAAATGGATACAAGATATTTAATTTATTTAAAAAAAATATTTATATGATCAATAACAGAATTCAGACCGAGGTAGAGAAGAAAAGCATTGTGTACAACAAGACGGTTGAGAAGCCGGTGAAGTCTGATCGGCCGTTGGAGTATGGCTCGGGAAAGTCACACGAAAAACAGAAGACAGCGGAGTCTATAAACCTCGCCGGACATAACGTCGGCGCAGTCATGGAAATAGATAAGTTATCGGCCAGCCACCGTTTGGGCGGAGAAACAGTAAGAAAGAACAAAACAGAAGGCGGCGACGGCGGCCGGGATGGAAATGAGGAGAAGAAAAAGAAGGAAAAGAAGGACAAGAAAAAGAAGAAAGTGCCGATGACCGCATTTATGAACAGCAATTTTCAGAGTGTAAACAATTCGGTTCTGTACGACTCGTCGTGTAACCACCGCGATCCCGGCCTGCATCTTAAGTTTGCCGATGCGGCGGACGGCGACGGAGCCGCTGTTGATGGCCGTAAGAACTACAAGGCGTAGAGATGATGGCTTGTGAAGTATTTAATTATAAGAAATAAGCCATTTTCTTGGCGTTTAAAAAAAAAAAGAAAGAAGAAAAGCCATTTACTTGGACTCTTACTTCAGATTATAATCGATATCAATAAAAATATAAATTCAATATTTATTTGATCTTTGAATGCTATAGTCTTTAATTTCTTAATTTCTATATTCTTTCATAATTCATTTAAATTTATTACGTTCTTTGATGGATCAATGCTAAATTTGTATTATTGGAAACTTTGTTGTGTTAGTCAGAATAAACTCTAATATAAGCATGAAGTCTAACACATAACTATTCTAAATTAGAGTAATATTTTTGCAAGAATTTGAACTTGAAACGGATATTATGGACACACATAAATTGACTTGGATTTCAAACGACAAAATCAAACTTTCATTAAGCATAAATTGGTGACACCGACCTAAGTTAATTAGGTAAGTGACCTAAGTTAATGATGGTGCATGCCTTGTGACCTCGGCATGTATCGTAATATTTTTATGCTATGTTCATGTGCTTTATGTATTGAAATGTGATGTTATACTATGTATGCATGTGATGTTCATTATATCATGTTATGACTAAATAAAATGTTACGTAAAGATTATGTGATGTTTACCATGTATACATAATGCATGTATGGAATATGTCATGGATGAAATGGGAAAAAGAATGACGTTAATGCTATGTTTTGAATGTAAATCATAGGGACCTTAGGCATGTATGTGTGTCATGTACATTGGGATACTTCACCGTTATGTTATGCTTGTATAGATGCGTACCTTCGATATTTATGTTTGTCATGATATCATGCAGGTCTTTCCTTTTCCGTAGTGATCGACGACATGTAACATGTTAAGACCGACCATGCCAGGCCCAGGAGGTACGTATACGATCCCATTTGGTGGGTCCATGTGCACGTACATGAGCCGTATGTTGAGAAGTACTACACGTCCAACCTTGTCCGAAACTAGAAAGAGTCCAAGGTCATGTGACAACTTTAAGATAGGTCACAATCATGTTATGTGTGTGATTGCATTGCTGACCCTAAGAATAGGGTGACTTACTATGTATTTCATAAAATACTCAAGTCACGTGCTACTCTTATATTTTTCAGGTAAAGGTAAAGCTCCCCGATGACGGTGAACACTGGAAAGGCCAAAGAAGTCAAGATAGATCATATGATAGGGCAGTAACATTGCAATTGATAGGTGTTTAATTCTAATTTATTTCAAAAGTATTTATTATTAGAATTCGATATGTGTTTACAGCATGCATGTTGCAACGTTACTAATTTAGAGTAAGAAAAATTAAAGGCATTAGACTTAGAGTTGCACTCTTATGCACCATATGATAAGTTGTGTCTATGTGTATAATCATTGTAAGCCGATTCAATATCCCTCCCATTTTGCATGGGTGAGAATGATAGACAATTATTCAAAATCCATACCATTTTGCACGAATTCAATCGTTCATGAGTTGTTTGTAATTTCAACCAAGTCTTAAGTTCGATTTACAACTATATTTATATCTTATACCTTAAATACAACTAATCATTTAATAAACAATTTGTTTATGATCCAATCATTTGTCGTGTCATCTTTTCGAGAGACAACTCCATTCAACAATTTAAAACTATAATATCTAAATAAAAAGTTTAAAACTTATTATATAATAATTTTGTCTAATTTTTTCTTAAACTAAAAATAACAAATAACAAATATTTCTTTTTGAATTTTATGATAAATAATCTTAGAAAGATTCCTTATGTTCTTTATGTTTCCACCTCTCAAATTTTGATTTCCTTTTTTTTTAATAAATTTTTTTGATTCTCTATTTTGTTTGAGAGAAAGGAATGAAAATACACCTGATTAATCTTATATGATTTTCGAGAATCGTTAAAGAAAGTGACAAACATATCATTAACTATCGTCGATTTATTATATGAAATGACAATACATGTATAGAGCTCATATCAATTCAAATTAGTGGGTAGTGTGCATCAGTTCTAAATTGATGATGAACACGTCGTATACTTTCATCCGACAAAGTCTAATCATTTATAAACAAAGTCAATCAACGAGTTATGATCGTTCCTTGAGATTTGTTTAGACCATGTTCGGGTTTACGAGCGTCAACCATAAGGGACCAAAAAGGGAGAAGCTAAGTAAAATGAAGGCTTTTTAGATTGCTTGAGAATCCATTAAAATAATTATTCTTTGCTTTTGAAGGGTTTTTTGTTAGTAGCTCTTCTTGAATCTGATACTTCTCTTCATTTCTTCTCCAATTTTTTTGACTATAAATACCCACAAACCTCAAAGCTTTAACCATCTCTCCGACCATTTTAAAAATTTTCAATCTTTGTAATGGCAAATCTTCCTCGTTTTGGTCGTACATGGAACCGTTTCTCTTCCCTGCCCCGCCCTGCCACGGCCCCACGCTTTGATGTTCCGCCGCCGGCTGCCACGTCGGAGCCGGAAGTTTTTTCATCTGCTCCGCCCACCGCCAATGTTCTTCAAACTTCCCCTATTAAAGAAAGGTCTCCTCGAATCACTTCTCCGGTTAGGAAATATCACTCGCCTCCTACTTCTCCCAAATATAGGGCGGCTGCCCCTAGCACTTCACCCCGCAAGCCACTATCTCCTCCTCCTACATATAACCGTTACGACGGAGAACGGCGGAGCAGTGCCCAGGCTTCTCCTAAAACGTTCAAAACTACCTATACCTCTCCGCCACGATCACCGGCGAAACATAAGTATTCCACCTCCACTGTCCAAGCACCACTCTCTCCTCTGGCTCTGCCTAGCTTGGAGAAGAGACATGAACCTGAGCCAATGGTTCGACCCAGGAGCCCACCGGAGGTTAGTTCAATCACCATTAAAATACCTTATTTCATCCATTAGTAATTTATATATATACTTTTTTATTTTTTATATACAGATTCTGGTCACTTTTCTTAGAAAGAATATAATATAATAATTGTGCGCTACAAAATTAAACCTTTGACTCAAAATTTTATTTTATTTTTCTTAATTAATAATTGAGCTATACCTAGATGGCTTGAATATATATATATATATATATATATATTTTTTTTTGAGACCTCAGAGTTCACCTTCCTTTAAGACAACTCAGTTTCCATTCAGTTTCGCTATTCAATCGATATGGGACTCCTTCAATCCATCATGTCCCAACCAATGTTGGATCTCACATCTTCAGAGTCTAGCATTCTTGCTGACACTCGTTTACTTCTCCAACGATGTGGGAGCCCCCAATCCACCTTCTTTGGGGCCCAACGTCCTTGTAATCACACTGCCTCGTGTCCACCTCCTTCCAATTGATGTGGGTCTCCTCTCAATCCACCCCCTTCAAGGCCAAGTGTCTTTGACAACACACCGTTATCCACCCCCTTTCGAGGTTTAGCCTCCTTGTTAGCCCATCGCCAAGAATGTTTCGTTCTCCTACTCAACTCATGTCGGATTTAACAATTCACCCTCCTTTGGGGTCCAATGTTTTTACTGATATTCATTCCCTTCTCTCATCAATGTGAGACTCCCCCTCCAGACTCCCCCTCCCTCTCCCCAATTCACTACCTTCAGGCTCTAACATCCTTGGTGGCACACCGCCCTGTGTCCACCACCCTTTGGGGTTCAACCTTCTTACTGGCATATCACCCAGTGTCTGGCTCTGATGCCAACCGTAACAACACAAGCTTATACCTAGCAGATATTGTCCTCTTTCGACTTTTCATTTCGGACTTCCCCTCAAGGTTTTTAAAACGTATTTAGGTAGAAGTTTCACATCTTATAAAANTTTAAATTTATTACGTTCTTTGATGGATCAATGCTAAATTTGTATTATTGGAAACTTTGTTGTGTTAATCACAATAAACATATATATAAATATTTTAAGACTTTACTCATGCAAAAACTCTAATATAAGCATGAAGTCTAACACATAACTATTCTAAATTAGAGTAATATTTTTGCAAGAATTTGAATTTGAAACGGATGTTATGAACACACATAAATTGACTTGAATTTCAAACGACAAAATCAAACTTTCATTAAGCATAAATTGGTGACACCGACCTAAGTTAATTAGGTAAGTAACCTTTATATGGTCTATGATGGTGCATGCCTTGTGACCTCGGCATGTATCGTAATATTTTTATGCTATGTTCGTGTGCTTTATGTATTGAAATGTGATGTTATACTATGTATGCATGTGATGTTCATTATATCATGTTATGACTAAATAAAATGTTACGTAAAGATTATGTGATGTTTACCATGTATACATAATGCATGTATGGAATATGTCATGGATGAAATGGGAAAAAGAATGACGTTAATGCTATGTTTTGAATGTAAATCATAAGGACCTTAGGCATGTATGTGTGTCATGTACATTGGGATACTTCCCCGTTATGTTATGCTTGTATAGATGTGTACCTTCGATATTTATGTTTGTCATGATATCATGCAGGTCTTTCCTTTTCCGTAGTGACCGACGACATGTAACATGTTAAGACCGACCATGCCAGGCCCAGGAGGTACGTATACGATCCCGTTTGGTGGGTCCATGTGCACGTACATGAGCCGTATGTTGAGAAGTACTACACGTCCAACCTTGTCCGAAACTAGAAAGAGTCCAAGGTCATGTGACAACTTTAAGATAGGTCACAATCATGTTATGTGTGTGATTGCATTGCTGACCCTAAGAATAGGGTGACTTACTATGTATTTCATAAAATACTCAAGTCACGTGCTACTCTTATATTTTTCAGGTAAAGGTAAAGCTCCCCGATGACGGTGAACACTGGAAAGGCCAAAGAAGTCAATTATATTTTTCAGGTAAAGGTAAAGCTCCCCGATGACGGTGAACACTGGAAAGGCCAAAGAAGTCAAGATAGATCATATGATAGGGCAGTAACATTGCAATTGATAGGTGTTTAATTCTAATTTATTTCAAAAGTATTTATTATTAGAATTCGATATGTGTTTACGCATGCATGTTGCAACGTTACTAATTTAGAGTAAGAAAAATTAAAGGCATTAGACTTAGAGTTGCACTCTTATGCACCATATGATAAGTTGTGTCTATGTGTATAATCATTGTAAGCCGATTCAATAGTTGCACTCTTATGCACCATATGATAAGTTGTGTCTATGTGTATAATCATTGTAAGCCGATTCAATATCCCTCCCATTTTGCATGGGTGAGAATGATAGACAATTATTCAAAATCCATACCATTTTGTACGAATTCAATCGTTCATGAGTTGTTTGTAATTTCAACCAAGTCTTAAGTTCGATTTACAACTATATTTATATCTTATACCTTAAATACAACTAATCATTTAATAAACAATTTGTTTATGATCCAATCATTTGTCGTGTCATCTTTTCTTAAATACAACTAATCATTTAATAAACAATTTGTTTATGATCCAATCATTTGTCGTGTCATCTTTTCAAGAGACAACTCCATTCAACAATTTAAAACTATAATATCTAAATAAAAAGTTTAAAACTTATTATATAATAATTTTGTCTAATTTTTTCTTAAACTAAAAATAACAAATAACAAATATTTCTTTTTGATTATATAATAATTTTGTCTAATTTTTTCTTAAACTAAAAATAACAAATAACAAATATTTCTTTTTGAATTTTATGATAAATAATCTTAGAAAGATTCCTTATGTTCTTTATGTTTCCACCTCTCAAATTTTGATTTCCTTTTTTTTTAATAAATTTTTTTGATTCTCTATTTTGTTTGAGAGAAAGGAATGAAAATACACCTGATTAATCTTATATGATTTTCGAGAATCGTTAAAGAAAGTGACAAACATATCATTAACTATCGTCGATTTATTATATGAAATGACAATACATGTATAGAGCTCATATCAATTCAAATTAGTGGGTAGTGTGCATCAGTTTATATGAAATGACAATACATGTATAGAGCTCATATCAATTCAAATTAGTGGGTAGTGTGCATCAGTTTTAAATTGATGATGAACACGTCGTATACTTTCATCCGACAAAGTCTAATCATTTATAAACAAAGTCAATCAACGAGTTATGATCGTTCCTTGAGATTTGTTTAGACCATGTTCGGGTTTACGAGCGTCAACCATAAGGGACCAAAAAGGGAGAAGCTAAGTAAAATGAAGGCTTTTTAGATTGCTTGAGAATCCATTAAAATAATTATTCTTTGCTTTTGAAGGGTTTTTTGTTAGTAGCTCTTCTTGAATCTGATACTCCATTAAAATAATTATTCTTTGCTTTTGAAGGGTTTTTTGTTAGTAGCTCTTCTTGAATCTGATACTTCTCTTCATTTCTTCTCCAATTTTTTTGACTATAAATACCCACAAACCTCAAAGCTTTAACCATCTCTCCGACCATTTTAAAAATTTTCAATCTTTGTAATGGCAAATCTTCCTCGTTTTGGTCGTACATGGAACCGTTTCTCTTCCCTGCCCCGCCCTGCCACGGCCCCACGCTTTGATGTTCCGCCGCCGGCTGCCACGTCGGAGCCGGAAGTTTTTTCATCTGCTCCGCCCACCGCCAATGTTCTTCAAACTTCCCCTATTAAAGAAAGGTCTCCTCGAATCACTTCTCCGGTTAGGAAATATCCCTCGCCTCCTACTTCTCCCAAATATAGGGCGGCTGCCCCTAGCACTTCACCCCGCAAGCCACTATCTCCTCCTCCTACATATAACCGTTACGACGGAGAACGGCGGAGCAGTGCCCAGGCTTCTCCTAAAACGTTCAAAACTACCTATACCTCTCCGCCACGATCACCGGCGAAACATAAGTATTCCACCTCCACTGTCCAAGCACCACTCTCTCCTCTGGCTCTGCCTAGCTTGGAGAAGAGACATGAACCTGAGCCAATGGTTCGACCCAGGAGCCCACCGGAGGTTAGTTCAATCACCATTAAAATACCTTATTTCATCCATTAGTAATTTATATATATACTTTTTTATTTTTTATATACAGATTCTGGTCACTTTTCTTAGAAAGAATATAATATAATAATTGTGCGCTACAAAATTAAACCTTTGACTCAAAATTTTATTTTATTTTTCTTAATTAATAATTGAGCTATACCTAGATGGCTTGAATATATATATATATATATATATATATTTTTTTTTGAGACCTCAGAGTTCACCTTCCTTTAAGACAACTCAGTTTCCATTCAGTTTCGCTATTCAATCGATATGGGACTCCTTCAATCCATCATGTCCCAACCAATGTTGGATCTCACATCTTCAGAGTCTAGCATTCTTGCTGACACTCGTTTATTTCTCCAACGATGTGGGAGCCCCCAATCCACCTTCTTTGGGGCCCAACGTCCTTGTAATCACACTGCCTCGTGTCCACCTCCTTCCAATTGATGTGGGTCTCCTCTCAATCCACCCCCTTCAAGGCCAAGTGTCTTTGACAACACACCGTTATCCACCCCCTTTCGAGGTTTAGCCTCCTTGTTAGCCCATCGCCAAGAATGTTTCGTTCTCCTACTCAACTCATGTCGGATTTAACAATTCACCCTCCTTTGGGGTCCAATGTTTTTACTGATATTCATTCCCTTCTCTCATCAATGTGAGACTCCCCCTCCAGACTCCCCCTCCCTCTCCCCAATTCACTACCTTCAGGCTCTAACATCCTTGGTGGCACACCGCCCTGTGTCCACCACCCTTTGGGGTTCAACCTTCTTACTGGCATATCACCCAGTGTCTGGCTCTGATGCCAACCGTAACAACACAAGCTTATACCTAGCAGATATTGTCCTCTTTCGACTTTTCATTTCGGACTTCCCCTCAAGGTTTTTAAAACGTATTTAGGTAGAAGTTTCACATCTTATAAAAAATGATCTTTTTTTTTTTTTGGGTCATAATGTTGTTAAAGGTATGATGTTATGTACGTATTCTTAAACAGGTCCAGCAGAAATCCGTCCTTTACCAGAAGACGACTAGCGAGAAGCCTGCGAAAACCGACCACCGAGCATCGGAGTACAGCTCAGGCAAACCCCAGCAGAAGCAAACGCATCAGCAGCAAAGTGATGTTATAAACATCAAAGGGGAGAACGTAGGCGCTGTCATGCACATCACTCAATCATCTGATGCCACAGAAACCCACAAGAAAAAGCCAACCGTAAGCTACAGCAGCGAAAACGAGAAAGATTCAAACAAATCAAGCTCCAACATGCCTGGAAAATCGTTCATGAACAGCAATTTTCAAGGTGTAAGATTCAAACAAATCAAGCTCCAACATGCCTGGAAAATCGTTCATGAACAGCAATTTTCAAGGTGTTAACAACTCCATTCTCTACAATTCGTCTTTGAGCCACCGTGATCCAGGCCTGCACCTTGCTTTCACCAAGAAGCCCACCCATGCCGATTCTGTTCATGATTCAAGGCACTGAATGGACCAACCTCATCTTCACCAAGAAGCCCACCCATGCCGATTCTGTTCATGATTCAAGGCACTGAATGGACCAACCTCATCATTACCACTCTCTTATTTGGTGTCATATGCTAAAATAATTATGAAATAAAGCAACAATATTATAATAATTAAAGCATTTTATATTCATATTCACCATTCATATGGGATGTATTTTCAAATGGTTTTAACCATTTGGAAAATAAAATGAGTGATTAATAATAAAACTTATTTTCAGATTATTCTATCCATTCAAACCATTATTACATTAAACTTTATTTCTTTTAGTTTCCCTCAAACACGTGGGAGTAGAATCTCCACGTGTGAGACACGCCCTAAACTTTATTTCTTTTAGTTTCCCTCAAACACGTGGGAGTAGAATCTCCACGTGTGAGACACGCCCATGGACGACGTGTGAGTCACCCTTTTCCCTCCGTTCAGCCCCTATTTGCTTGTTTTTCGTCCCGATTTCAATACTGATTCTATTATTATGTGAATTAGAACCTATCAAGAAAATTTCAGAGTTTTTAGAACCCTCTCCAGCAAGTAATTCGAGCTCGGGAAGACAAACCTATCAAGAAAATTTCAGAGTTTTTAGAACCCTCTCCAGCAAGTAATTCGAGCTCGGGAAGACACGCATCAACCAAGTAAATAGCCATTTAGACTCTCACAAAGTACGGCTTGGAATAAGCATGCATGCTGTCAAATTGATATACCTAGCTAGCACGCCGATCTCACAAAGTACGGCTTGGAATAAGCATGCATGCTGTCAAATTGATATACCTAGCTAGCACGCCGAACCTAGTATATTAGTATGAAAGCTATGGAAATGAATTATTTAAGGAAATCAATGGAATCTAGATATGAACGATTATGAAATCTGTTTAGATTGAGATTGTGATAATGTATGTATGCATGAGGAGGAAGAGAAATTTGTGAAATCTACTCTAGGGGTAAAAATGGACGTTATCTTCCTGTTGAGCATGTTTGTTAATATTGCATGAACTGCTGGGTGTTAACTCCAGTGCATGGTTGCTTGTGTTATCTTTCTTGTTGAATAGGAAAAAACTACGAGCTTAGACTAGGGTGCTTGAGACTAAGTAGGTTAGACAAAACTCTAGAATGAGATACCTCTAGAATACTGTGCATTTAGGCCCGCGAAACGATTACCAACGATCCCAGACCCTAGTACGCCAAACCATGATAGGTTTGTGAGACCTTGTGCGATAATCCTAGAGATGAATGAATCCAAGTCTAAGCCACCAAGATTTTCCTAAGAAAGAACTAGTAGAACACCATGATATCTGTAGACAACTGAGGTAGCTGCTAGACTTGAGCAGTGGGGATAGTGTCGCCAGAACTTCCACTTCCCTCTCTACTCTGATACTGTACCGTCAAGACAAAACCACGATACTGAGATCATTGAGCTAGGCAGAGCCAGACAAGAAAGTGTTACTTATGCCCCAACCTAGTAGTGATAGCAAAAGAGTCTTCCAAAGAATACCCCTGAGTCGTAGAAATCCGTTCCTAAGCGAGGGAGCGTGGAACCACGTAGCGTGACTTAGTAGTTGACCAACAAGCAGGTGATCACAACCCACGATTTTAGTGGAAGTATGGTCCCGTGGGAGGGTTGTCAGCTAACCTTCACAGATAATATTCAAAAAGAGAGTTACTTATTCAGATCCACCATACTATCTCCTCAATTTTATTTGTGAGGTCGCACTCACCTCAGGACACTAATCAACCACTGTACAAGATAGGCAAACCTTCTAAGTTGGAGAAAAAAGAGTTGCAGTTTAGTTCGCACTCCCTAAAACCCCATGACAAGGCCGTGGATACCTATCATTTTAAAAGTAATAATAAAAATTCTAAAACTTCTAAAAAATATATTTTTGAATGTTTATTTGAAATAACTACAAACAATTTTCATTAATATCAATAATAATAGCTTTTTAATTTAATAGTATTAGTTTTAAAACGTTTTAAGACATTTCATAAACAAAATATAAAGTTGAACAATAATTTTAATTATTCACTCGAAATTTTATTTCGAAGCATGTATGCATATTCTTCCCGACCAGATTTACTCGAACCCATTTAATTCAAGTATTTAAAATGAAAAAAATACAAAATATAAACAAGATTTAAAAAGAAAAAAGAAAATTAGGAGATTTTGAAAGTCCATATTTCTAGAAGGGTATCAAATATTTGCTCATGGTAAAAAAAAAAAAAAAAATTAAAAAAAAAAATTAAAAGTATGAGAGAATTATTCCCACGTCTCTCTCTTTAAAAACCTTTCACCAAATGAAAAGAACCAAACTTTGTAAATTCATACCCCTTCCTATTTCCTTAATCCAAACGCCCTATAAATACCCACAAAATAACACGCATATCTTATTCATCATTCTTCCATTTTAATTTCTCCTTTCATCATGTCATCTCTACCACCCCGGCAACGTTACTTTTCTCTTCCACGCCCTACTCCGACCACTGCCTCGTCTCAAATCCCAGCTGCTTCTGCCGCCCCCATCCCGAAGCCTGCAAAATCTAATCACCATCAGCTGAGCAAGGCCATGAACATTAGAGGTGAAAGTGTTGGCGTTGTGATGCGTAGTAATGAATCATGTGAAGGGATGGAAGTAGTGAAGCACATGAAGAAGAAGAAGAAAGGAAGTGAAGGAAATTATGATGATGGAAAGAACAAAATTATGATCATGGCTATGAATGGGAATTTTCAAGGTGTTAATAACTCGCTTTTCTTCAACTCTTCCTTCACTCAGGGTGATGCTGACCTGCATTTTATGATATCTAAACACATTTCGATCTAGAATTATTCATTGCTATAGTAATATTCGAAATGATGTGTTATAGTTGGAAAAATAAAATATCTTGTTCATTTTTCAGCTCGATTAGCACGTTTTGAATACTTTAAGCTGTTTTAGAAGCGTTTTTTCAAATCCAATTAAGGCTAGAAAAAAGTAATGTAAGTATTATTTTGGAGAATTTATAATAGTTAATGGATATGTACCATTATCCATACATTTTCGAGTAAAACATGGGGTAATAAGAAGAGAACACGTGTAAGGTTGTGATTGGGACATGTGTAAGCCAACGAGGGGTGTCCAGCATGTCCAGCATCAGTCTCTAGTGCTCTAGTCCAGCCCATCCTCTTGTAGCCTAGCCCAACAACCTTCCAGCCCAAAACATGCCACGTCAAAACCATGCTCACTCTATGTCCATGAGCCACTAGTAAGCCAAGTTTGTAATCATGAAAGATATGACAAGTATTATGTATGCATGTACGCTCTTGTCATGAAAATGATGGAGTTATATCGGGATACTTCTCCGTTATGATTAGTACGAACAAATACATTATGATATCTATGTACCCCATGATATTATGCAGACTCCTTTCCCTCCATGGTTCCAGCTGCATGAGCATGGCTAATTGAAGGGCAGACTTAGACCACGTATAGGCTCACCTTGTAGAGTCCATGTGTGTATGCGTATGCTGTGGGTAGAGAAATACTGCACATCCAATTTTCGCTCGAACTGGAAATTAGAGTTCAAGAGTTCAAGGCCATGATGAAGAAAGTAAAAGTTCTCTATTTATAATCAAATAAATTACAAGAATATGAAAATAGTAATAATTGGAAAAAACAATAAATGCAAAGATATCCTCAAATATGATATTAGTACTAAATATCTTTAATCATGTGATTACATTTCCCGACTCCAATCATGAGGTTACTCATGGTTTTAAGGAGAGAGCGTGGTGCAAACCCGGGTCATGGTGAGCCAAAGAAGCACCGTAAAGAATAGAATTGTTTACGCCCTGAACATTGCTGTTCAAATAAGTGCTTTCGCCCTTCTTCTCCTTACACCCTTCCTTGTTTTGATCCTTTGCCTTTCTGTTTGATGTTCTTCTAAATGTCTCTTTCTTCTCTATCATATCTCCCCCTTCCCCTTTTAACTCGAAGATTTCCATTACTGCTCCATGATTTTCTCCTGCAATCTTTATTGTATTTGGCTCATGCTTGTGGGATGTCATCGTCGTTTTGCTCGACTCGCCGTGACAATCCGAATCAATCACTTTCTTCATGGCTTTTCCGACCACCGCTTTAGGCTCGGTTTCAGGAGATCTGTGTCAAGAATACAGAGTAAATGACTAAATATGTTAGAGTTTGTCAACTTAATTAAGGTTTTGAATTTAATAATATATAATATAACCGCTTCTCCTCTTCGAGTTTTCCCTTTCGGACTTCTCCATGAGGTTTTTAAAACGCGTATGTCTGGGAAATGTTTCCACTTTTTTTCGTTCTCCACCCCAATTGAGATCTCACAATCCACCCCTTCAGGGCCTAACGTCTTTGTTCTCCACCCGAACTGGTATCTCACGATCCATCCCCTTCAGGGCCCAACGTCCTCACTGGTACTCGTTCCCTTCTCCAATCGATGTGAAACCCACCAAATCCATCCTCTTCGTGGCCCAGAGTCCTTGTTGGCACATTGCATTGTGTCCACCCCCATCGAGGCCTAGCGTCTTTGCTAGCACACTGTTTTGTGTCCACCCTTTGGGGCCCAGCGTCTTTGCTGGCACACTCCTTTGTGTCCACCCGTTTCGAGGTCCAACGTCCTTGCTGGCACACCACTTCATGTCCACCCCTTGGGGTCCAGTGTCTTTGCTGGCACACTACTTTGTGTCCACTCCTTCAGAGCCCAACGTCCTAGCACATTGCCTCGTGTCCACCCTCTTCGAAGCTTAGTAGCACATCTCTCGATATCTAGCTCTAATACCATTCGTAACGGCCAAACACATCGCTAATAGATATTGTCCTTTCGAGACTTTGCCTCAAAGTTTTTAAAACTCCACAAGACAGATTTCTAACTCTTATAAAAAAATCTATCTACATGCAAATTTTGTTTTTTTAATATAAACCACTATTGACGTGCAACCAATGGTCCTTAGCATATAGATGATGACTAACATATAGAAGTGTTTGAGTTTAGTGTATCCAACCTGGGTTGAGTAGTAGGTTTATCCTTAAGGTATTCATCTACAGCCTTCGGTTGTGAGTTGATCACTCCTCCAGCTGAACCTCCATACGATGGAGAAGGAGATGGTGAAGCAACCTTCTTCACAGAGTACATCGGAGAAGCAGCAACGGACTCTCTCTTGGGTGAAAGCGACGGTGAGCGAGCCCGTGGTTCCATCGACGACTCTTTGCTGGTTGAAGGATATGGACCTGAATCTTGTCTTGAATTACTGCCACCATGGATAAAAGGTCGCTTAATGGAAGAAAGACGAAACATGGAGCGACGAAGACGACCCGCCATAGTGAAAATAAAAAGTGTTTGTTTGGTGAAGTTAAACTTAGAGATGTGTGTTTTAGGGTTACTTATAAGCAGAGAGGAAGAGGGTTATGAACCCAAAAAAATATCTTAAAAATATCTTTCTAACTTTTTTTAATATTTTAAAAATGTTTATTAAAATAATTACTCTAAAATTTGCTAAAAGTCTAATATTTATTTTAAAAAATTTTAAAAATGTTTATTAAAATAATTACTCTAAAATTTGCTAAAAGTCTAATATTTATTTTAAAAAAATTTAAAAAATAATTTAGGTTAGCCTTATGGGTATAAATTTTAAAAATTTGGCATTTACCGAGATGTCTTTCTTTTTCTTGAATATAATAATAATAATAATTATTATTATTATTATTTTATTAATAGAAAAATTAACGAATATCAATTTTATGACGTATGAAAAGTATGTTAATAAATTTGAACATTACATAATATATAAATATATAATGTATTTCAAAATATATTTTTGCATATAAAATGAATTAATACAAATATATAAACCATAAAATTTGTAGCTTCAAGGTCAAAATCGGGAATCTGTTTTTTGTAAAGACGAAAATAAAACGTTGGATTTGTTTTATTCCCACATCCATGATTTTATGCTTTTATGCTTTTATGCTTTTATTCTTATTTTCAAAATTAAGAATAAAATTATAAAATCAAATACGAATGAAATCAATTAGAATGGAAATATTATTCTTTTTATTATTTAGTAAGAATACCCAAAATCCAATATAATAATTATTTTAAAACAAAAATTCATATATATATTGTATATTTATTTCTAAATAAATAGAAAAACAATAAGATAATAAGAAATATTATTAATAGAAACATTGGAAATGTATTGTCGAGCAAGGTCTAGATTGAATCGTTTAATAGGTCGAGACAACCAAGTGCTTGGTGGAAAGAGTTGAGTCTTCTAAAAAAAGCCTCTACGTTATAAATCCATCTTAATAAGAGATGATGGACCACATAGGTAACTCAGTAGCTAGCAAGCACGACAGGTCCTTCTCTAGTTTTAAAGTGACTTTATAGTCTCTATGGAAGGGTTTGTCAATTAATAAATGTCATACTAACCACTCAACTCGGGATATCAATCGTTGACTATCGTGGCCATGCAAGTTGACTAGTTATACAACTCCATTCTACATTTTCTTTTTCATGTATTCGTTTTTTGTTGATCAAAGAATGAGAGCGTTCAGAAGCTATGCGGCCATAGAGAACGTGAATTTTGGATCTTTGTGTGGTTTAAAATTGTATCCAATCCCTAGAGAACAAGAACAATACCTATGTATGCATGATTTTGATTTGATTTCAAATTATGCAAAATTTTACCCTTTTTTATTTTTATTTTATTTGATTTTCTTTGATTTAATAGTTTAATGAAAATTAGAAAAAAAAAAAAAACAGAATAAGAATATAAAAAGAAAAGTATGAAAAAAGTAAGTAAAATCCAAAAACAACGAGAGAATAAAGGAGTACAATTATTCCCTGAGGGTTAAATAATATAATCTAATTCGAACGATTTTGGTTTGATTGTACAACCGATTCTAACCTAAGACAAGATATGTCTCTGTTTGCGACTTTGTACATGTGCATCTTGCCTTTACTTAAAAAATGACGTGGCACACGATCTGTGTATTTCGAAAAATTCTCAATAAGTGACCCCATTATAGGAGGTTATGCAAATGCAAATACATATAATCATGCTTTTGGGACCTATCTCTATTCTCTTGGGTGGTCTCTAGTCTTGGATAAATTGGATATGTAGTACTTCCCTACACACAACTCACACGTGCGAGTGTGAACCCCCAAGGGACTTGCTAATCTGTAGCGATGTTCCAAGGTCAGTGGAACTCCTTGGTGTCATGCTCCCTATGAACACCCTCATCATCATACTGTGCCCGTACGTACTCATTGTCTCTGGGGAAGTATCCCTATGCTTATGAGCACCCAACATGCATGAGATTCTTCTAATTTCCATTTATTATCTCTTCTAATACAACCCTCTAGGATATTTATATTGATATCATTTTCATGCTCTTAGAGTTGTGTCCTATGACACTCATCATCATATAGCATGCTTAATATGGAAAACTTCAACATATTAAGACAAACATTATGCAATCAGTCATAATCATCATATTGCCATAAGGTGCATCAAGCATATCAAGTACGTCAATTATCGAAATATATATTTACGCACATCATCATGCATCATAACTCATATATCATCATATACTAATACACGACATCCTATGATCCAACTCCTACATCATCATAAATGGTAACCCATACAATTTCTAATCTATCATATAATAAAGTCATTTACTTGGTTAGCCTTAGCTAAAGTTCTATCTAGCTCCAAATTTGGTTGTTCTCATCCTTCAAATTCGTTCTCACTTACATCGAGCATTCACCTATTTTAAATATAAACTTAATTGACTCAATAAAAAATTGAATTCCATGTTTTCATTGGTTCTACATCGTGTTTGGTAATAAAACTTAAATTTAAAAATAAGTCAATATTATTTCATGGTTATTAGATCATATTCCCATATTTTTATTTCCTAAAGTAAAATCTATTAAGATTATTTGGATTGAAAAAATTTACAACCCTGTTTTACTATTCATATGATATTTATTTTTATTTGAAATAAATTCACGAATGTTTAAGTTCATGACATCGTTTATATATGACTATTTTTAAATGAATGTCCGCACATATTAGGCATGCCATTTCGAACATTTAATTCACCCTGTGAAAGTTTGAATTCATTGTCTAATAAACTAGCGAACCTTTGAAAGTTTGTGTTTTTTTTATAACAGCTTCGAAAGATAATTTTATATCATTGTAATAAATTTTCATGTTATCGAATTTCTTTCGATGGGTGTTCTCCGCTTTAAATTTTCTATGTCAATTCTTGTGTTTCTTTGATTATTAAATTATATATATCTTATAGAAATTTATTTATTTGCTTTATATGAAAATTAAGCATCATTCTAAACCTACTTTTTCGAGATCAACATTCTTACCTTCAATGCAAATATACGTGAAAGTTACATCATTCTAAACCTACTTTTTCGAGATCAACATTCTTACCTTCAATGCAAATATACGTGAAAGTTAGCCCTTGCATGTGCCTTGGGAAAATATGACAAATCAACATTTTGGTGGGGAGGGCGTCCCTCGAATTTATGGCTCTAAATAAATTTTTAAATCTTTATGAAATAACTTTTTTGGATCGAGATCGACTTGACTCTATTAATATTTTGCGTTGTGTTTGCTAACTATTTGGTATTAGTTTGATACTCAAAGAAGCTGGAGTCTAAACTTGAGTATTATATTTATGATTTCAATTGAACTTTGAGGACCAATTTGTAATTGCAGGACGTATGGCCAAATGTTTACCAGAATTTGGGAAGAGAAGAATTGTGGACAGAAAACAAAGAGAGTGACCCAATAAAATTTAGTCTCTGCCACTCTCTTTATTTTTGTCCAAAAACTTTTTTCAGGTTCTTTATATCCTCCAAAACCTTTAATCATGTGCTCTATCATTCATAAAGTTATGAACACATGAACAACAATTATTTCTCCCCTTTTTCGATTCATAATTATAGTCAAAATCATCATTAAAGTCGTTTTAGTATCAATTAAAAAAAAAAATGAAACGAGATCAAATATATAAACTTAGGTTTAAAATGAATAATACCATGGAAATCAATTAGAATAATATAGAAAAGACAACTCGTTCGGTTCGTTATACTCGGTGTCACTCTGGTGCAGTGGACGACGACAACATTAAAGAGAAGGATCAAAGGCTTTCCTTTTCTTTTTCCCTTTGGTTGTTAGGGATAGAATTAGCTTTTTTGTGTACAATAATAAAAAATGCATTCCAAAGTTGAGGAGTCAACCAAAATGATGCAAAAATGGTGGGGTTTAGGGTTTTGCAAAGCAAACTAGGTAAACTTTTTTTTTTTTTTTCATTTATCTTTTGTTGTTCTATTTATGTTTACCAATTTCGGACTTTATGGGTCATTATGGGCCCTTTAGGTTGATGGCTATATGTAAAATAAATCAAAGTGAACAATATCTGCTATCGATGGGTTTGAGTTGTTAGAGGATACTATCTTCATAAACCAACACAAATCTTTTTAGCATGTTTTTTCCTCATTCATGTGATTCTTAAGATTACTCTCACTTGAATGTGGTTTCGGTTCATTCATTTTGTATGGATAAACTCTATATAAGAGAGCATGGAGTGAGCCACTCCTACTGTTTCATGGCTATATATATAGCTCATTCACACCACTTTTGATACCCATTCTAACTCGGTTTGATTTCACCTCTCTCACAGCCATGTTCAACTGGGTTCACTCCAACTTCCACTACACCCCTCTTAAAGGTTTGATTTTCTTTTTTTCATACTAATTTTCATAGGATTAGAACCCAAACTAAACTTGAATCACTGTCAAATCATTTTGTCATTTTTAAAATTGTGTTAAGAGTTTCTTAACGTATGCAATGAATCCAACCAAATAATATAAATCTTAACCTGACTAGGAGGGTTCATAGGTTGAGTTAAGTTGGTAAAGACATTTTTTAGACCCAACCTAATGAATTGAATGGTAAAATTTTCAACCAAAACTAACCTTATTAAATAACTAACCCAATTCAACTTAACCAAAAAAAAAAAAAAATTGAGTTGGGTTGGTTCGTGGGGTTGAAAATTAAAAATAAATTTAGTTTTAGTATAAGTTTCTAACTCAATTCAATTCAAATAGTACTGGTTGCTTTGGGTTGATCGAATTTTACCTCTAAACCCGACTCAATCTAACTCGAGTAATACATTCCTATTACAACAATGAATTTTTCTCTAAATTGTTAGCTTGGAGAAAGAAAAGTGAATCTTTGAAAAAGGAGGCCAAAAGGCAAGGATTAGCAAAGCAAATGGATGAGATGGTTGATATTCTTGATGATTGGAGGATCAATGGCCGTCGTCTTACCATTTTCTTCATGGGGTTTGACA